CTTTATTGGGTAGAGGAAGGAGGGGTCAGGTAGAACTTCGGAGACTTAAAACAAAAAAGACATGTACACAAGCACAAACCACAACAACAATAAACCTGGGAAACTGAGGAAATAAACCACAAAAAACAGAGAGGAACCAAAAGTTCCGAGACACAGGGGACAGGGGAACCAGAGAGAAGGGGAAACCAGGAAGTGAAAAAATCAAAATACCAAGCAAAAAACTAAAAATAAAAAAAACCCCGGGAAAAATACCGCAGACTGGGCAATAAGCACGTTCCAAATTCTATCACTGATATCGGAGTGGACAACCCGAGGAAAGCCAGGCACACGGCCCGCTCACAGGCACGGATGACCGGAGTAATATCCAGCAATGAGGATAGGAGGGCCAGCTCAACAGTCAATCACGGATACCGGAAAGACAACCCGAGGAAAGCCAGGCCGAGGCCCGCTCACAGGCACGGATGTCGGGAGAAGCAACCCGCAATTAGAATAGAAGAGCTGAGAGAAAAGAAAGCCCAGATAGAGAAAAAAAAAACTGCGGAAAAAAGGCGCTGCTCGCGGAGTCAGTAGGGGGCTCAGCATTCTGTCATGGGTGTCGGAAGGGATGAACCGTGGAGAGGCAGGAGAGCGGAAATAGACCCTGTGAGACGGGGGTGAGCCCAGGCTCAGCTGTGTCGTATAGAAACCTAGGCCCTCAGGCAGCGGACATGGGGCGACCTGGTGCTAGGCGGGTCTCAGGACATCCGAACGTCAATGCCAAGCGAAGGGGAATGAGTGACCCGGAAATATATAGCCCCAGAGAGAGACACCGGAAGGAGAGCAAAGCACAGGAAACTAGGGACAGGACAGAGTAGGAGCGCCCTCTGGCTGCAGAGGGCGTGACAGTTTCTAGGTATGTCAATCTGAGTTAGTGTGTACTGTATGTGTGTATCACATTGCGTTATTGTGAGGGTGGATGTGTGTGAGAGGCTCAGTGTGTGTGTGACTCAGTGGCCACGTTACCTCATCAGTCATTATGGTTGCCATGGATCTCCCAATTTCATGATACTGCTGTGCTTTCCCATCTGGTCCCAGCAAGATGAACAGGAACCTGCCACAGTCAAGGACGATTAACACCAATGAAGAGCAATTAACAGCAAAACTGCCAAAATTCAAACATCACACCGCTCTGTGAGTGAATTTTCACTTGTGAAACCCCTCCACACACTTGCGTGTCAGAGAAGAATGTCTGTGAATGAAAGTGCTGTTCATTCTTATTGCTTTGCTGACACTGTAATTCACCAATGAAGCTCTCTGAATTTGAGA